TGGACAGGGCCCTGGTAACTTTCTCTATGGTTGGGATGGATGATACTGTTAAGCAAGTGTGAAATCAAGACTTGAAGCCTCTATCACTCAAGGGTTTGGGAGGGGTTTAAACAAAGGAAGGGCCTAGCTTGGAGTGAGACTGGAAATGTCCTGAGGTAAAGTTCAGCTATATTTGAGCTGAGGGTGACTAAAAAAATGTAGAGTAACATTCACTTAAAATGGGGAAATGTTCTCCTCTCCTTAACTCTGAAACAGCTGGACAGTTTTGTGCTAAACTCTCTACAATAAACACACAAAATTCAACTCTGGGCTGAGAGTAAGCAGGGATGATTTCAGCCAGCAAAGAGAATTTTTCCAAAAGTTATGAGCATGTGAAAACAAGGTTATAATGCAAAAGTCTGATTCAAAACCTTTTAGTCTCTTTGCATACCCCTGGCAGGTAAAATCATCTGGGGTCTGATTTTTTTTTCAAAGTTGCTAAGTACCTGCAATCTTCTATTTATGTCATTTAGAGCTATTGGCACCCAGCACTTCTCAAATCAGGCCCCAAATATCTACTTTAAAATCAGTAGGAATGTGCAGCCACCTTTTAAAGTATGAAACACAACAACTTACCATTCTTGCAAAGTCCTTGGTCTCAAAGGAGCAGACAGCCCGTGGGAAGTCTATGTTTGCAATGTATTTATATAAACTTATATACGGTGTGAAGATAAATTGTTTGCAGTGCCAATCCTTTAGCAAACACAATGATGCAAATCGCTCTGATAGAGGTTTCTGTGAATGATTTTACAGAGGTGGACATCATTAAAATGTTTAGCCAATTATCAGTTTCGTTCCGAAATGAAAGGGAAAGATTTTTGTGCACCTGACACGGAGCTAGATGGCAGCTGTGTGGGGTTTTGAGTCAAGTGTTATCAGGACTAGCAAGTGATGATAAGGATTCATATCAGACTTTATTGCCAACACTTCCCGGGCCCCAAGGCTTGTATGAAGCACTAACCTTTCAGTCCAAGCAGCAGCAGTTGCATGCAGGAATCCAGTCATACAACGACTATGCGCAAACTGAGCCGAATGGTTAATCCTAGGAAAAGCCTTTGCGGGGGATATTAAGTGGAAAGAAGGATTACCCCACTCTGCAGGGATCACCCCAAACTGCCCTCTTCCTGGTCTGCCTGTAGCCCGGGCCGCACATTCGCAAGGCTGGTATTTCTCAGAGCGCCACAGTCTGGCACGCAGGGAACAGATTCACCTCTGGGGCCAGTGGTGGTATTTCTGTCTCTGGGCTGGTATCAGTGAGAGGGAGAGCCGCTGGAGGAATCCGGCTGTTAATGGCAGGGGTATCGTTTGGAAGTGTCTAGCACTGCAAAAGCCACGTGTCCTTTTCAACACTTGAGAACAGCTATGGCTACAGGGGACTTGTCACTAAAGCTGAGAATCCCTGCAGAGTTGGGGGGAGGGATAGCTCAGGGGTTTGAGCATTGGCCTACTAAACCCAGCGTTGTAAGTTCAATCCTTGAGGGGGCCATTTAGGGATCTGGGGCAAAAATCTGTCTGGGGCTTGGTCCTGCTTTGAGCAGGGGGTTGGACTAGATGACCTCCTGAGGTCCCTTCCAACCCTGATATTCTATGATTACAGAGTGGATTCTGCAGGCTCAGTTCACAGGGATTGGCCCTACACCCTCTTCTGTGGCAGAGGCCTTCAGCCATTGCAGAAGTCAAACTTCCAAGAAATCACCCCCCCTTCCTACCCTGTAACAGCTCCCCCTAGTGGGAAGGTGGGTCCTTGTGGAAAAGGGAAGGCCCTTGCGGATGGGGTGGGTCCTTGGAAGCCTGGATTCTGTGTATGGAACCTAGCTGTCCCCTTCCTCAGACTCCTCAGAGGGGGCCAATTGGCCATGTTCCCAGGCTTCTAGCTTTGGGAGGCTAGAAGAGTCCATCTTTTGGGAGGCTAAAAGATTCCATCTTTTACTGCAGCCCAATATGACAGGGACAAATTCTGCTGCACAAAGCTTAGCACAGTAGCTAAGGAGCCGAGTCATGTACAAGGTGACTGTCACCCAAGGCAGTGCAGTGCAATGGACCCTGCATGGGACTCAGATCCCGCTCACAGGAGCAAAAGTCCAAATAGCACCAGGGAGGCAGTGCAGCCTAGAGGGTAGGGCACTGGCCTGGGAGTCAGGAGACCAGGCTTCTATTCCTGCCTTGGCCACTGGCATGCTGGAGAGCTTGGGCAAATTGCGGTGCTTCTTATGCCTCCATTTGCCTTTCCGGCCTGTGTCTGTGTGGCATGTAAGCTCTTTGAGGCAGGGCCTGTCTCTTGCTATGTCTTTGCACAGAGCCTGGCCTGTCTCAGCTGGGGCCTCTACCATACAAAGATAACACATACTACTATTGGATTCCTGCCTATAGAAGCTAACTCGGGGCTGCTCCCCTGCCTTCCTTGGGGGAGAGACTGCTCCTGAGGTACCGTTTATAACTTGGAAGAGCTCCGGTCTGGATGGTGCCCCTCTGGCACTAAGGGAGGAACGGCCACTGCTGCAAGAGCTGACTGCCTAAGAAGACAAAGCCAGACCCAGGGTGCAGTACTGGGTTACAGCATAGCAGCAGGGAGATCGGGGTGATGGCAGCACGGGGGAGGGCATTGCCATGTCTCTGTTGGTGCAAACAGATGTTGGTTTGTATTTATTTGTCAAAGACGTTGAGGTTTTGCCAAGCGGGGGAGGGCTGTTGGGGTAAGAGGAGGGGTACAGGAAGAGGCAGGTAGAGAGAGTAGTGGGGTGAGAGAGGCTAAGCACAATGGGGAACGTGGGGTGGGGTGCAGTGGTAGGAGGGGGGTGAGATGAACAGCAGCCCAACAGCCAATAGCAATACAGCAAATCTGGGGGAGTGCGCGACACATCCAGAGCCTGAGAGTCACAGTCGCGGATGCCAGGGGACTGCCACTGCCCCTCCCAACCAGTGGCTGCTCCTTCTCTTTTGGATGGGGCTTTCCTAAGCCCGGTGACCCAGGAGGTCCCTCTGGGTTCAGCAGAGGGATTGTGGGAGATGGCAGGCCCTTATAAATGACCTCTACCCGGTGCTCTAGCTCGTGGGTGCTTGTTCTGTGTATCTGTAGGGAGAGCTTCAGCAGATGCATACAGGCATTCGACTTGCATCTGAAGAAGTGAGGTTCTTACCCACAAAAGCTTATGCTCCCAATACTTCTGTTAGTCTTAAAGGTGCCACAGGACCCTCTGTTGCTTTTTACAGATTCAGACTAACACGGCTACCCCTCTGATACTTGATACAGGCATTATACTCTCCCACAAAGGAACAGCGTAAGGAAGTCTATGGACTGGAGGGATCTGACTGGAGAGTCCATGGGGAGGTTCTGTCCCCTGGTGACCAAGCATGGACCAGAAACACACAGTTGCTGATGGACTGAACCCAGTTCTTATACATGGAGGCACGGCATCTTATACCTCCAAAATCAGCCCACAGCAAGGACGAGGACTAGCAGGGACTTCTCACCAGCCCCCATCTCACCCCTCGGGCTGTTGGTGGAGACTCCCTGTAAATCAGCACCCACCCCTCCTATCAGTGTTCCTGACCGGCCCTTGCTCGTGCAGACCTTGGCAAAAAATCAGCACTGAGCTGAATGTCAGAAAACAAATTCAGATGCAACTTTGGCAATTTAGGATTTGGAGGAATATTTTTGCATCCAAAATATATTTTGCACTCCTACCTCCACCGTGTATCTTGTATCTGTGTCCCTGTTAAAGGCATGCAGACAGGCTCAGAATTCAGGCAGCAGAAATTGAGATAAAAGAAATGGGAGCTCCATGAAAACTTGCAAAATATTTCATGGCTCCCCACTAGTGATAATGAAGGGCCAGATCCCCAGCATAGTTGAGCTAGTCTGTACCAGCTGGGGATCTGACCCCAAGACTTGCAGCCTTAGGATCTTTCACCCTCTTCTACCCCTTGGGCAGATTTGGGCAATTGTTTAACTCGGTTGCCATCACAGCACCGTACTTCTGCCAACATTAGGCCAAAAGAACCATGCATGTACATGTAGCCTTTGCTAGGAACCAGAGGGTCATTTGTAAGGTATGAGGGACTTTGGGATCTGGGAAGGCCAGCCAGGACCGAGGGAATTCTGGGAACCATCTGTCTCATTCTGTGTTCCGTAAAATGTTGCTTCTGTTTGCCTTATTGATAATTCCATTCCTCCCATTGTTCCCCTTCCTCAATAAACTTCAGTCCTTGCACATCACTTGAGCAGCTGTTCTCTATTCTGAATGTTCTCTGGAAACAATAAACCTCTATGAAGGCGATACGGCATATGTCAGCTGCATGTGGTACACACCCACTGTGTACACACTTAAGGGAATGTGCAAGACACACTCCTGACTCATGCCCTCTGGAAGTCTGGACCCTGGTAACAGACCCAGGGCCGGCTCCAGGCACCAGCCCGGGGGTTTGGGCGGCCCAGCCCAGCCCGGCGCTCTGGGGGTTTGGGTGGCACGGCGCGGCATGGCACGGCGCTCGGAGGGGTTTGGGCAGCCTGGCACGGCACTCCGGGGGTTTGGGCAGCCTGGCCCGGCGCTCG